AAAAAAAAAAAAAAAAAAAAGCTACATTTCTGAGTAGCTACCTTAGGGAGTAAAATGTGGCTGTCATTGGGCAAGTGGACTTTTTACTCAGCTAGTTCAAGTGTGGGTTTCTTGAGTACCTTTCCTACGGTATCACTGCTCAGTGCTGTGGGTGAGGCCAGCTGAAGAGGTGAGATGGTTCTGATCCATGAAGCTGTCTCACATTCTCCTATTGGAGGTAAACGAATCTCATGAAATGGTTATATACTAGATGAGCATATATGTATAAATAGCAGAGCAAGTAAGTATACGAGTACAGGTCATCACATAGCACGTGGGCCCTAGTAGATTGGGTAGAGCCTGATTGAAGAGGACCTCATAAGGGGAAGACAATAGAGTCATACTCTATTTTGTAAGCAGTGGGAAGCCACTACAGATTTTTGAGCTGGGGATCCATTAGATATAAAGATATTTTAAGCACATTTAGTTTGGTGGTGGTACCTGGGATGGTTGGGAGGGAGGGTGGCTGTTGCAGTAGTCTCAGGAGTATACCGAGAAGTTATTACCAGATTTGTATTTAAGACAAATTCCTGAAGGTGGAATTGCTTCATCAAAGGGCTTGCAATTAAGCTTTTTGAAACATGTTACTAAATTTCCCTACTTCAAGAGATCTTCCTTCTTGGGCATGTTGAAATTTAAATGATGTTAGAAGATATATATGAAATGGTGATGTGTTTTTTACATTAAAATTTTTTTTTCTTTTAAGGTTGTAGAGGGAATGCCTCTTATTGATGGAAGAAGACTCAAGTACAGATTAAATGGTAACTCTTTTTGGTTTTAGAATTCTTATGTAAATAACAGCTACCTCTTTTCTGTGTTTGCCTGTTTATTCAAATGTGATTTGAGCACTCACTTGGAGCTCTTTAGGCAAAACTATTTCTGTAGCCAAAAGAAAGAATGGGTAGTCCACTGAGCCTCTCTCTGTGTTGGTTGGTGGCAGCAGGATTGGCTGGGGACAAGAGCTCCTCCCTTGGAGCCTGTCGTGGTGCTTTTCAACTTGGCAGTGCCTGCGTGTTCCTTCACAGCCCCTGCACGTCCCTGGCCCCTGCCCCTGCGTGTCCCCGCTCACGGCCCCTGCCTGCCCCCGGGCTTTTGTGTTGTGGCCTCTGCTCCAAGGGTGGGGTCTTGAAGTCTAGGGTTCTGGATGGTAGAATGTGACTAGAATCTTGAAACCATTATTGACAAGTTAGTTCAAGTATAACTATTTATAACTATAGCTACCAAGTTTACCCCATCATGAGGTAATAGCATTAGCCTTTAAAATGTGTACTTGGCCCAGCTCTGTTAACAATTAGTTACTTGACTTTGCCCCTGAGAGTTTACATTATGTAAATTTTGAGGTTCTTTCCAGTTTTTTAACAGTTAGTGAATTTCTGTGTACATCTTTTCAGTTTTCCCTTAATTAAAAGCAGATAATGACCATTTGAACTGAAAAATAGTAATTTAAGTAACTTAAAATACTTGAAAAATTATATAAGAGATATAGTATCTGTATTGAAGATTATACTTGGGGCATTGCTTATTTGCATATGTGCATGTATTTAACCTGAATAATGAAACTAAGACTGTAAAGGTAACATTGCATTGTTCTGTAATGGTATTAAGTCTCATGTGAGCCCTGGGTTAATGTTAATCCTTCCTCCCTTTTTTTTTTTTTTTGTTCTGAAGGATTCTATGCTTTTATCCTGACATCTGCAGTCGTCGGAACATCTCTCTTCTGGGGCGTAGAGCTTTCTTACGTGTACAGTCATTTTCTGCAGTTTGCACTTGCAGCCACTGTCTTTGCAGTGGTCTTGAGTGTTTATCTCTATGCACGTTCTTTGAAAGCACCCAGGAGTGAACTGTCGCCCGTCAGCTCTGGTAAGCAGTGGTAAATCGCACGTTGGATGAGTGTATCCCGGAGCCCTCCAGCAGTCATTTCTAGACTTGAGTAGATTGCTTTTTTCCTAACTTCATTTATGGGACATGAAGAGAAATAAGAAAAACTAAAAAGATGAAGAAAAAAGTTAAAGAAAAATGAATTTAAAGGAAGAAAATATTTTTGATTTTTCCTTCATACTTTCCTGTTCATTTCTGTTCCTTTTTCAGTCACTTAATGACAGTAAGACATTTAGTAAACTTTATAGGCATGACGATTTATGACAAATAGTATTTTTTTGTCCAAAATAGTGAACACCCTTTAAAATACAAAAGCAAAACAAATTGGTTGATTCTGACCTAAAGTATTTAAACATTTAAAAAAAGTAGTTACTTTAAAAAACTATGAGTGTAAAATTAAACAAGACTCCAGTTCCCTTAAAATTTGGGGGATCTAGGCCTCTGGACCCCTAAAGGATATAGCAGCTGCCTTTCAGCTGGGGTGGGCACCCCTTGACTCCCTTAGTCTGTGCTGTTCCCTCTCACCTCCCACCAGCAGTGAGTGCCCTGAGGCCCTCGTAGGCAGTTGGATTGTGAACCATGGACAGTAGGCAACAGTGCAGTTTTAAAGCCTCATTACTGGGTTTGGAACGCTGTTTGGGTAAAAACTTTTCCCTTCTCAGGAAATGCTGTCTATGATTTCTTCATTGGCCGTGAATTAAATCCTCGAATTGGTACTTTTGATCTCAAATACTTTTGTGAATTGCGCCCCGGATTGATTGGATGGGTATGTCTTTTTTTTTTTTTTTTTTTAATTTCAATTCAGTAGTTCAAATTAATCTCTGGGAAGAAATGTAGACAATTTAAAAATAAAGCAGTGGAAGGTATATTTTTAGGGATAATAGTAGCTTTCCATAAATCTGTTTAATACAAAATATTTTCTTATTGTAAATATTTTCCAGAGGTTTAAGATGTCCTGTTATAGGTTATAAAAAATGAAAGAGTTTTTCCTGGTTTTATTTTTATTATATCAGTTTATATTTATGTAGGAAAGTGAAATTGTGGATGAAATAATGTAAGAAAAAATGTATTTTCCTTTTCTTTTTAAAAAATCTTATTTTTACCTAATTTTAGACTGCAGGAGAGTTATAAAAATAGAGCATAGAGTTTCCTTACATCCCTCATCCTGCTTCATAAGATGTTAACATCTGACATAACCATAGTATTAATACAATGATCAAGAACAACAAATTAACATTGCTACAGTGTTAACTAAATCCATAGACTTGGAGTTTCACCAGTTTTTCCACTATTGTCCTGTTTCTATTCCACAATCCTCTATAGGATCGTACCATGCATTTAATTATTTCTTCTTAGTCTCCTCTAGTCTGTTAGAGTTGTTTAGTCTTTCTTTGTCTATCATGACCTTGACATTTTTTGAAGAGTACTGGTCAGTGTGTCCCTCAGTTTGGGTGAGTCCGCTGTTTTCCTGTGATTGGAGTGAGGCTGTGCACTTGTGGCAAGAATACCACAGAAATGACGTGCATCCTTCTCAGGACGTCGGATCCAGGGGTTCACGGTGTCAAGATGTCTTATTCTTGGTGGTGCGTCCGTGTTAAAGTGGCGTCTGCCAGGTTTCTCAGCCGTGAAGTTCCTGCTTTCCCTTTGTAATCTCACATCTCTAGGGAGGTACTCGGAGCCTACTCTCTCCTTTTATTTCAGGTGGTTATCAACTTGGTGATGCTTCTGGCCGAAATGAAAGTACAGGGACGTACAGCTCCATCCGTGGCCATGATTTTGGTTAACAGTTTCCAGCTCCTATACGTGGTGGATGCTCTCTGGAATGAGGTAATTCATTTTAAGAGCCAAGGCCTTGGAGTCAGCCAGTCTTGAGTGTGGGTGAGTGACGTGACCTCTCAGAGTCTCAGCTTCTTCACACCAAGCGAGGGGGATACAGCCTGCCCCCAAGGCCTGCTGTGAGGAGGACAGAGATGCCAGTCTGTGCGGGGCATGCAGCTGAGCAGTGAGCACTGACAGGTGGGAAGTTTCTAGGCATTTGGTAGTGCTTCTGTGTGTATCAGCAGCTCTTTTATTTAAAACTAATATTCTAAATATGTAAGATCGGTGGATCTTGGTTTTATTTTTGTGAGTGGTGACCAATTCATATAAATAAAATTTAATTCCTTATTATGGCACATGAAAGTGAGTAGATTATCATCAAATGAGGATGGTGTTTTTTGGATTGTCGAGAGGCAGCTAGTTCTTAAATAATGGGGGAGATCTTTTATTGTTAGTGTTTCAAAATCCAAAGAGTAGCTCTCATTAGATGAATATAAAATCAGAAATCAAGATATGCTGAGGAAACCAGTTTAACTAGAGCTAAGTTTCCAACTCATGGCTTTTCTCATATATTGGTAAGTTGTTAATGTTTCTACTACTTGAAGACTGGTAAATGTTTTGTTTATTTTCTCTGCCTCAACTAAACATACTTTTAAAAGCCACTTCTTCTTCAAGCCTGTTTTACAACTATTTTATCATATTTACTGTTATCTCTGTAATCATCTCCAAATTCCAAATCCAGTTTTCTTTGAATTTTAAAAACCAAATTGGCAACTCTGCATCACAGTGTTCCAAAACAAGTTTTTATGGTGGTCTGTTGAGACAGCCTGTTGACATTTTGAGAGAAGGCCCCTTTCCTTTGAATCTGAGGCATTTTTAAAAAACTGTATTATTTGATCATTTTCTCTCCCGTGCCCCACCAGGCTGGTCTTCAATTTTGGTCTTCTGTGCAAAACCACAGAGAATATTTAGTCAGAATAACTTTCAAAGTTTGATATTGATATTTCGGTGATCTTCCTGTTCTTTAGGAGAATTAGGACCTCTTTGGGGTAAACAAACATCAATTTTGAGTAGCTGGGTTAGTGTTATCTGTTGATCATAGGTTCTTGTTGTGTTCCTGGCTCAGAGCTTGGCAGCTGTGGTGAGAACATCTGATATCGAAGTCCTTTAGAAATTCCCCATCTACCCAAAATTAAACATGCTTTTGAAATTAAAAACCAACTCTTTTGTAAATGCACTTAGTAGGCTTATCTGCTGTTACATAATAAATGGCTCCTGAGGAGCATGTAGATTACATTTTGCAAGTCAAATGATATTTCACTGTTACTTTATCACCTCAGAGACTTTTTTTAAACCTTTTCTTCAGTAGCTTTCCAGTCATCAGTGATTATTCCTTCTGGTTTCTTCCTTTTAGCTTTCTTTCATGTGGTAGTCAAGTTCATATTTTGTATAGATTTAGCCAAACATTGACTTCTGTTAACAGAAAATGTTTGCATCTCAAGGCAATATTAACATAGCCACACAGATAGAGGATTGGAGTTGGGAAGTTTTTTGTCTATTCAGTATCTCAACCATATTATAATAAGCTTTTTGAGGAAGAGATTTGATTTTATGATTTTTTTTTATCATCTGGCATGCCACTGGGCAGTTTAGTAGATGCTGAATAACTTTCTTGTTAGGTCCTGTGGTAGAAATTTCCTCTGTATTGAAGAATGTGCTATACCTTAAGAAAGCTGAGAATGCCAGTTTAACTAGGAATGGCCCTTCCTCTGAGCCTGACCTGCAAATACCCTGAGGCTTCAGGAGCTGGGTGGGGCTGAGGGACCTACCCCTACTTGGCACCAAATTCGGACACTTTGTCCCTTCTCACTGCCCCCTGCCATTGCTGTTACCTCTGCTTCTCTTTCACCTGCTCCTGTCTTTTTATCACTTTTGACCTGTTTTGGACCAGGAATTCAGATCACAGGTTTTAAGAGTTTATGTGCATAAGAATAAGCACTCTAAGGAACAGAAAGTTCTCATTCTGCGTGTTCTCATTCATGTGTGGAAGCTAAAAAAAAGTTGGTCTCAGAAGAAAAAATATAACAGGATACTAGAGGCTGGGGAGGCTGGGAAGGTTGGGAGAGGGGGAGGGGTATGCTAATTATCCTGATCTGATCACTGTACATTGTATGTATTGCAGCATCACTATGTGCCCTAAATATGTATAATTTTCCTGTGTCAATATATAAAATTAGGAAAAAAGCGAATAAGGTACTCTGTTGTCTAAGGAGTGTGAGCCTAAGGGCCTAGGTTTTGTGACATCGGTTTTTCTGTTCTCTGTTTTCTGTTACATGTGGCATCTGATTTTCTGTTCTTTGTGACAGCTGGTTTTCTGTTCCATGCTCTTATTTGCTTTCTTTCTGGAAAAAAAGTACTCTTTGGAGGTACTGATCTTTTTCTTTACCTAGAACTTTGATTCTTTAACAGAGCTTATACGAGCTAATTTTTCTACATCAGTGGTATATGCTGAAGTCAGAGGCAATTTAGAGACTCCCTCAGGGCCAGGTCTTATGAGCTTTGACCATCGTGGTATCCCCATGTTCCAGAGCCTGGCCTACAGATGTCCAGGTGCAGAGGTGATTGGCTTATGCTAACCAGATCACAAGAGGGTAATGCACTTTTGTTAATTTACACGAGAAGTGAAGCAGTTTACCATGTTGCCAGGTAGCTTATTTTCTTCCGTGGAAAATCTACATGAAAAGCCAGAGTATGATCAGAAATTAGGTTGGTGCACATGGAATTAAAACAAAGGGAGTTGGAGATCTTATTCCTTCAGGAAACATATTTTGAACACTTTTCCCATGGCAGGCAGTATGCTGGGGTCACAAAGGTGAAAACACATGGTCCCTATCTTTCAGAGGCGTTTAGTCCAGTGGAGAGAGACACAGTTTCTGTGACCTGCTGCTGGGTGCTGGCATCTGACAAGTGCCCAGGTCCGAGGGGGAAGGGCTCACGCTGAGGTTGGAGGGGATGCCGGGCAGAGGGAGGCACCGGCAAAGCAGGGAGGTGTGAGGCATGTTGGAGATCTGTTCTCTTGGGTGCATGGGGTGAGAGGCTGGAGTGACAGGAGAATGTGACGGCAGATGACCTAGTGTGATATACAGGCCAGGGGAACCAGATCTCCCCCTTTAAAAAAAAAAAATTGTTGGTTGGTGACCTGTCCCTAGCCCTTGTACATTTGCTTCTAAACTAGTGCTTTATTTGAATACTTTAAAAATAGAAACTTTTTCTCCCTTTCCCCCATCATCTATCTTTACAGGAAGCGTTGTTGACGACCATGGACATCATCCACGATGGCTTTGGATTCATGCTGGCCTTTGGAGACTTAGTGTGGGTTCCGTTTATCTACAGCTTCCAAGCCTTTTACTTGGTCAATCACCCAAATGAAGTGTCTTGGCCAGTGGCTTCACTAATAATTGTTCTGAAACGTGAGTATGAATTTTGGTCTCTGTGTATGAAATATTATGTACTGAGTCTGTCGTGCTCTGGTGCCTACATATTTGTAACTTGTCATTTTCAGTGGTCATAATTAGCTCAAGTTGGGTAGTTCATACTTGGGTTCCTCAGTAGTTCTCTAAACAGATTATTTTAAACAAACCATCTTGTTTTTAAATTTAATAAATTTAAATTAATAAATTGTTTTAGTACTGGTTCATCTTTTCTATTGAGTGCCTGCTTTGTCTGGTAGGCATCTTACAAAGGAGGAGGACTGGTGTTGCCTTCATAGAGCTCACTCGTGCTGTGAGTGGCGTGAGGAGTGGGTGCTGACGAGGGCGACCGAGATGGTGGGAGTTTAAGGTAGAGAGAGAACTTCTCTCTGGGGAATGTCGGTGTAAACTTATCAGAGGATATGGTGTTTGGTCTGAGTTTTAGTGGGTAAAAATGGGATGGGGAGATACATAAGTCAGGCACAGGGAACAACTCAGCAAGGGTGAGTGGGACATGGAAAATGAGGTTGGAAGAGAGTGAGGAGTCCAGTTTGGCTGCAGCAAAAGTCAATGAGGGTCATTTGCGGATTTTGCTTCAGGATGATTTTTCTTTATCCTTTTGTTATTACACTGTTTATTAAACACCACCAGAGGCCGGGTAGGGAAAATTAGCATTGAACTTCACATACACCTACTTTTGCTTTACTAATTAGTATCTGTAGTAGAAGAAGAAATTCAAATCACTGGTTAAAATTAAGATTTAGTTTCACCACTGGTTAGATTATCCGTGTCAACCATGCTCATGTGTTATTCAAGACAGTGTAATTTACAGTTCAGCTAAAAGTTGGAGCGTCTTAGTCCGTTTTGTGCTGCTCAAATAATACCTGAGACTGAGTAATTTGTGATGACCAGAAATCTATTTGGCTCATGGACCTGGAGGCTGGGAAGGCCACGAGCATGGCAGCATCTCATGCAGAAGGCAGAAGGGCAAGAGAGGGCGAGAGGGACAGAGAGCAAGAGGGAGCCAAACTCGTTTTTGTAACAAACCCACTTTCGAGATAACAAACCCACTCCTGTGATAGGGACATTAATCCATTCTCTTAGAGGTCCCACCTCTCAACACTGTTGCGTTGGGGATTAAGTTTCCAACACATGCACTTTGGGGGACACATTCAAACCACAGCAGGGAGTGGAGTTATTTATTACTTTACTGATGACTGACAATATAATAGTTACTAGTCAGTGATATATATGTCAGGGCTTGTTGATTTTGACATTTTGGAATTTGAATAAAGTTACAACCTTACAGGCTTGCAGTGGGACTCAGCGTATATTTAAAGTACGAGATGTTCTGTACTGCTTCTAAGCTTGATTAATTCTAAGTTCGATTAATCAAGTATTGTGCCATGGCCAGTAGGTATCATAAATAGCAGATGAGATGAATAGCCTGTAACTTGTATTATACTGAGCTCTAGTATTCATTTTTATTGTATTGTGGGCTGCATTCCATTTTATTTTTTTCACGGATGTAACTACGTTTCTTAGTTTTGCCTTCAAGGTATTCCCTAGGTGGATGGTGGAAGTAGTATGATAGTGAGATTTCAGAAGAGTTATTATCATCTTTTTACATTCTAGAATTGAGAGTTTTTGAATTTGAATTTGAGAGTTTAAGAATTTGGGAATTTCTTCAGGGTACAGAAATAATTTCTAAGAGAAATTACAGATGCCGTTAAGTATTGGATTGTCTCTAAATTATTCACATACAAAAATATTTTTAAATTACAGTTTGTGGATATGTAATCTTCCGATGTGCAAATTCTCAGAAACATGCATTCCGGAAAAATCCCAGTGATCCAAAGCTTGCACGTAAGTATCGATTTATATTTATGTTAATATAGTATATGAAAATTTTGTCTCTTGGTTTAGAGGTTATTAAAAACGTGTTTTTATTTTTATATAGATTTAAAAATCATTCATACTTCAACGGGAAAAAGTCTTCTGGTTTCTGGATGGTGGGGCTTTGTTCGCCACCCCAATTACTTGGGTGATCTCGTCATGGCTGTGGCGTGGTCCCTCCCGTGTGGTAAGCATTTCAAGAGAGTGCTAATTTCCTTCAGCCACCTGAAAGGTGTGTGTGTGCGTCCTTTGTTGGGACCGTGTGGGCAGGTCACTGTGAGTCTTCCTGTTGCCCTGCTGTAGATTGGGGTTGGCTACTGTGTAGCGAAAATAATAATATCTAATACTGTTTACTATTGTCACCCACAGGTTTTAATCACATTCTGCCTTATTTCTATGTGATTTATTTCACCATGTTGCTTGTGCACCGAGAAGCCCGTGATGAGCACCACTGTAAGAAGAAGTACGGCGTGGCTTGGGAAAAGTACTGTCAGCGTGTGCCCTACCGTATCTTTCCATATGTCTATTGATTCTGGTCTGGCATATTTTTAAAATACTCCTATCGTTCTGGCCACCATTTGCGAAAACAAGAAAAACATCCAAAACTAAATTTCTTTTGTGCACTGACGGGATCTGTAAATTTTTTTTCTTTTTGAGTCAGGACTAGAGAGCCAAGTAGTAGATTTTTTAATATAGCCATGTTTATTTTTATTAAATTATAATTAACATAAGGAAAAATACAAATAAGGATGTTAGATTTGCATTTTAAGAGGAAATTTTGTCTTTAAAAATCTGAAAACAGAAAAGTCTTATAAATGCACTGTAAAGAATACTGTTGATGTGTATGGCTTTTGATTACTTTTCAAATTTTGATTTTTTTTCTCTTTTGTCAGTTTTTTCTTGAATGAAAACACTGGTACATTTAAAATGCGTTTGTGTTTTATTGCAGTAAGAGAATAGAATCTTCATTTGCTTCTCTTTAAATCACTTACTAGTTATGTAATTTTGAAAGTAAAAACTGGGCCTATATTAAATGCTATATGTGCAAAGTGATGAAAGATTATTAGCAGACACTGTTTAAGGGAGACCATTAGTAGCAGTTGGCTTAACCTCACCTTCTTAAACTACGTTTGAAAATGTAAATACATAGCTTACTTTTATGTAATATATGGTGACTTCAGATTTTTCTGTACAGTATTTTGAATGTGAGATGATTGTCAGGACTGTCTTTTTAACAAAAACATTTCCGGTATTTTAAATTAAGTTTTGTAAAGTAATACATGTGAATTAAAAATTTTGAAACAATTAGAATTCATTTAATATTGTATAGATGATGCTGTTAAAACATAGGAAGGATATTTTTCTTAATCCAAAGTTTGTGAATTTGGCTTTGCTACCTCAGTTGCAGGTGTTTTTTTGCCTTTATAAACTATTGCAAATAGAAAAAAATAGAATAAATATATATTTTCGGAGTAACATCAGTATTTAAACATTTTTACACAGATTGGTGTTTGAAAAGATTTGCCATTTCAGGGTAATATTTTTATATATTTTTGACTTTTTAAAAATTCAGCAGTGTTTTTACTACTGGTTAGCTCATGCAGTTTATACTGTATTTTTTGTATATCTTTTATATTTACAAAACTTTACTCCCTGTAAAGGAATGCTAAAAACAACTTAAGGGGTTAAAGTCATTTCTTTCAGTTTAATAAATGTGCATAAAAGGTAGCTTTAGCCATTAAATTCTAGTGAAGATAAAATCTCATTATTAGTTGTCCTATGAGGGAACAGTAAGCAAATTCAGTAAACTTTTATATTGTTAAATTGTTGGCTGGGCACGGTGGCTCACGCCTGTAATCCTAGCACTCTGGGAGGCCGAGGTGGGAGGATTGCTTGAGGTCAGGAGTTCAAGACTGGCCTGAGCAAGAGCGAGACCCCATCTCTACTAAAAATAGAAATAAATTGGCTGGACAACTAAAAATATATATAGAAAAAATTAGCCGGGCATGGTGGCTCACGCCTGTAGTCCCAGCTACTTGGGAGGCTGAGGCAGGAGGATCGCTTGAGCCCAGGAGTTTGAGGTTGCTGTGAGCGAGGCTGATGCCACGGCACTCTAGCCCAGGCAGCAGAGCAAGACTCTGTCTCAAAAAAAAAAAAAAAAAAAAAAGTTCTCAGTACCTTAAACATGGTGTATATGTTTGGGTTTTCGTTATACGTTTTCTCTATGAGCCATTTAGACAGGCAGTGTTCAGTCTGCACTGCAATTCTAAGTGTATGTGACTTAGCTTATGTTAATGTGATCATAAAGGTGGTTTGCTGTAGTATTCCTCATCCTATAATCTTTAAACATTGTTTGGTGAAATTGTCATTGTTTTATTAGTGCTGCTGTGTGCAAGCAGTTTTTTGCTTTTGCTTTTCTCCTGGCATCAGAAAGTGGTGTTCTAGCATGTTCTATGCCAGATTCACCAAGGAAGCTTTGGGGAGGAAGGAAGGACATGTCATTCTTTCCCTGGTAATGAAAAGAGCCTGTTATCAACACATTGCTGCAATTTCTGGATATCAGCTACAATTTGTTTTTAATTTTGTTTTCGACATGTTTATTTGACAAGTTTTGTAATGAAGTTTTAAGTTGGAAATAAAGTTGAAAATAAAATGTTACTTTGATCACTTTGGAGCCTTATTTTTTTTGTGATTTTTTGCCTGTAACTCTGGGATAATTGGGGCCAAGACACAGGAGTCTTTAGATTACTACTCCCACCCAAGCTCCTGTTTTTTAAGATCATTTTCTTGGGACCCTCCTGGACCACAGGGAGTCCAAAAGGCACACTGGGACCCCTGGCTACCTGCTGTGTATATTGAGCTTGAAGGGGTTAGTTGGGAGTCCCAACTCCCAGAAAATGGTCATATATTTAGTATTTGCTATTTGAGAAAATAGAGAAATGCTAAAAAAAACTTAGTTATTTTTAAAAGCTTTCAAAAATGAAAAAATTATACTTTCAAATGAATTATTAATCACAGAAGCATCTATGTGCATTTGAAAGATAGCACGTGTGTGAGAGACATTTTTGTGTCTGCCAACAGTGTGTGGTGCTTGCTTGAGTTTCTAGTTTATTCTTAAGTCTGAGCTGTGAGATGAGATCAGATAGCTTCATCTCTGCATTTCTCTTCCTGACATGATGTTACATTGGGGCATTACATTGCAGAAGGTGGGTGTGTCAGAATATGCACCAACACCAAGCAGGCTAAAAATATATGCGATTTATGCTACAAATTCTACTTAGAAAAAAGCAATCAGGCACAGTTGAAAACTTAAAATGTTGCTTTCAGAAGTTTAAAGTAAAACAGGCTCTGGGAATCCCCAGTTCCCATTAGAAGCTGGATAAGTGAGGTGCTGCATACACAAGAAAACAGCCCCCCAGGCCAGGGGAAGCCTCTATGGCCAACCCCAACCTACAGCAGGGCGACAGGAAGACTCACAGTGACCTGCCCACACGGTCCCAACAAAGGACGCACACACACACCTTTCAGGTGGCTGAAGGAAATTAGCACTCTCCTGAAATGCTTACCACACGGGAGGGACCACGCCACAGCCATGACGAGATCACCCAAGTAATTGGGGTGGCGAACAAAGCCCCACCATCCAGAAACCAGAAGACTTTTTCCCGTTGAAGTATGAATGATTTTTAAATCTATATAAAAATAAAAACACGTTTTTAATAACCTCTAAACCAAGAGACAAAATTTTCATATACTATATTAACATAAATATAAATCGATACTTACGTGCAAGCTTTGGATCACTGGGATTTTTCCGGAATGCATGTTTCTGAGAATTTGCACATCGGAAGATTACATATCCACAAACTGTAATTTAAAAATATTTTTGTATGTGAATAATTTAGAGACAATCCAATACTTAACGGCATCTGTAATTTCTCTTAGAAATTATTTCTGTACCCTGAAGAAATTCCCAAATTCTTAAACTCTCAAATTCAAATTCAAAAACTCTCAATTCTAGAATGTAAAAAGATGATAATAACTCTTCTGAAATCTCACTATCATACTACTTCCACCATCCACCTAGGGAATACCTTGAAGGCAAAACTAAGAAACGTAGTTACATCCGTGAAAAAAATAAAATGGAATGCAGCCCACAATACGATAAAAATGAATACTAGAGCTCAGTATAATACAAGTTACAGGCTATTCATCTCATCTGCTATTTATGATACCTACTGGCCATGGCACAATACTTGATTAATCGAACTTAGAATTAATCAAGCTTAGAAGCAGTACAGAACATCTCGTACTTTAAATATACGCTGAGTCCCACTGCAAGCCTGTAAGGTTGTAACTTTATTCAAATTCCAAAATGTCAAAATCAACAAGCCCTGACATATATATCACTGACTAGTAACTATTATATTGTCGGTCATCAGTAAAGTAATAAATAACTCCACTCCCTGCTGTGGTTTGAATGTGTCCCCCAAAGTGCATGTGTTGGAAACTTAATCCCCAACGCAACAGTGTTGAGAGGTGGGACCTCTAAGAGAATGGATTAATGTCCCTATCACAGGAGTGGGTTTGTTATCTCGAAAGTGGGTTTGTTATAAAAACGAGTTTGGCTCCCTCTTGCTCTCTGTCCCTCTCGCCCTCTCTTGCCCTTCTGCCTTCTGCATGAGATGCTGCCATGCTCGTGGCCTTCCCAGCCTCCAGGTCCATGAGCCAAATAGATTTCTGTTCATCACAAATTACTCAGTCTCAGGTATTATTTGAGCAGCACAAAACGGACTAAGACGCTCCAACTTTTAGCTGAACTGTAAATTACACTGTCTTGAATAACACATGAGCATGGTTGACACGGATAATCTAACCAGTGGTGAAACTAAATCTTAAGTTTTTTTTAATTTTGTAGTGTTTGAAAAAAATGATGAAGTATAGAATTTTAACGAAAGATACAAGGTGGGTCTTACTGGGTGCAATTCAGTTGCATATGGACAGTACAGTTTCCTATTAGTCTAGTTCTGGGTTCAGGGGCCCCCCCGTCCCCCCCCCCCACTAGAATGAGCTATTTGATCATCATTTGTGTGCACATTCCAGGTTGTGCTGACCTGTGCTAGAGCCTAACCACAGGGACCTTGCACGTCAGGTCTTATGTGCTTAGAATAAAAAGCAGCTGGAAGTTGCCCCTACAGGCTGAAGTTTTCACATACAGAAGAAAGACAGAGACTACCTGTCCAGTCTGGCTGAACACACAAATGTTTTTATGAAGGGTGTTTTATGACATACATATGAATATCCAACATATAAATTTGGTTAGAGTCAAAAATTAAAATGCTTCGGTATGGAAATTCATTTTTCACTCATTCTTCTCACACAGCAATGCAACCTGCATTGTGATCCAGTGACTAGGAGGTTTCTTTGTTGATAAATGCACTGATGTTACACAGTTTGCTGATAAACCAGTAGTTGCCAAAATTCTTGACCTCTCAGGTGTCTGATAAACTGGGCATTCAAAGGTATAGAGGTCTGAATCTGTCTGGTTAGAAGCATTTGGTGTTTCACTAGAAATCTTAAAAAAAAATCCAATAGTTAAATTGCATAGTTCAAGCAAATCAGTAGCTCACATTTTCTATATGCTAGGTTTGGGGGATTTGTCATGAATTAAATACCTTTAAGGTTAGATGGTTAATGTAACTGCGTATGGAAATTATGCCTGGAGAATTTAAAGAGCAATTAATGGCATATTCTTGAGAAATAACACTGCATCTTAGTATAGCATTTATTTTAGATGTTAGCAATGTTTTGGGTTGTTGCAAATGTTTGTTGTCTGAAGTATATCATCAAATCTCTCGTGAAATCGGAGGGAATGGTGATAGAACGAATGGTTTGCATTACTGAGGGAAAGCTCAGACATTTAGGACTTCATGACAGATAGTTGGGTGTTTACCTTTGTTGGCAAAAAGTATATGACGGGAAAATCACAACACATCTCAAGAGGCAGCGAGTCTTCTAGTATTTTTTGTTCGCGATTCCACCTTGCCCCCTCAATGAATAAACCGAAAATGTAAACTCCAGTGTGTAAGGGGTCCAAGCCCTAAGATGGAAGAGAGGTGGTGTCAGTGGTCCCCCAGGAAAATTGGGAAGCCCAGCCAGAGGCTCCACCCAGAGATGAGCCCAGCCAGAGGCTGAGCAGATACGAACCTGCCCATCTGGAGGGGCTCTTCCCTGTGTGGGGCCTTCCCTGCCCAAGGCACGTTGTCCCAAGTTCTAAGGTGAATACTTGATTCTTTTCTTACTCTGAGCACTCAGAAAAGTTTTTAGGCTTTGGTCTATTTATATAATGATGAGCTTGAATTGACAAATATTATCAAACATAATAAAAACCCAAATTTCTACAATTAGAATCCTGCAGCTGAGCTTTTTAGGAGAGAGCCAGAACAGTTACAAAATGGTTAAAAAAGAGTCTACTGTGCTCAAATTTGTCACTTATCTCATGGTAGCTATGGTTACTCATTTAGGCTACGGAAATTTAAAAAAGGCTGGGAAGGGTTCCCTATGTCTTTGAATGATACGGGTCAAATAAATGATTAAATTTAAATGACAAAAGGTTAAATAAAATGAGTTTCTGATGAGTACTGTGAAATGGAAAATTTAGTTGCCAGCATCTCCAATTCCGGTGAGTCCAAGTGTGAAGCCTGTGAAGCCATGCGCTTCACAGGTGTGCACAGGGCCGCACAGCCTGGACGCAGCTGAGCACCAGCTGCCCGGGAGGGCTCTGCCTTCTCCTCGACCCGGCAGGTCGCTGAGGACAAGGGACGGGCACAGCTGTCCCGCGTGCTCCCTCAAGGCAGCTGGGCGGCTCCTTGACACAGGAGCCGCAGTGTGGAGCAGCCATGCTGTGCTTGGCGACGCTTCTGTGCGGGCTGTGACGGTACCTGGAGGTGCAAACTGCACTCACGTCAAGCACCTCCTATGTTGGCTTATTCTATAAAAGACTTAAACGGGGAATTGCTTTGTATAATACAATGACTTTTACGTTTCTTCCCCTTAACTTATGTAAATGCAAGGTTTCATATACTGTATTTGTTCTAGTGGAGTCCTTGCATAAAAATCATGGAAGATGTTAATCTAATGAATTTGACAATCTGACTTCCATTTATACTTGTATGATTTGGCAATGGCATACGTGGCTTTTTCCTCTAAAAAGGCCAAATTGCAGGTACTTTGTAAACAGCCCATTTTGGGGTGATAAAAAGCCACCAGAATAAATGGAAGTAATCTTACTTCACCTAAGCGGAAGCTGGTTCTCGGTATAAAGCAGAAATAACTGAGCACATCTGATTACATGGCTAGAGACAAAGAGTGAAGTCGGAGGGGAGCTTGCGACCCTCTCTCCCTCGGTAAGGAAAGGCCCAGCGGATGCCTGCCTCTCTGCAGCCTTTTCACATCCAGCAGGTTGTGCAGGAAGAGGTTAGGATATGGGCTAGGCTTGGGTTCAGAGTTTGTGACGTGAGCTCTTTGAATCTTCCTTCCCTGACCTATAGAGTGAGGATAGTTTGTGAGGCTTGAATAACGCAGGCAAAGAGCCTGGCAGAGTACGTGGCACACAGAGAATGCCCGCACACGCTGGCAGTGAGCATCCGCGCCGTCGTCACCAGGTCAGCTGTCATCTTCTGGGCAGCAGGAGCCATATTTTGTTCACGTCTATACTTCCAACAGCCAGCACAGTTTTGCATACATATTTTCAAGTGAATAAATTGATAAAGAATTGGATAAAAAGTCTATAACACATGTGAACTTTAAATTTCTTCCGCTTGCCAAGTGGTCATCTAATTTCTCCCAAAACTCCAGTCACAGCGCACTGCCTGTCTACAAAAGGACACTCCACCATCATCGCCATTTTAGACCAGCTAAAAGCCTCTATTTTAAATGAGTCTTTCCTGTGGAGCCCCCACTCCTTGGAGTTCTACTTCTAGTGAATTAGGGTCTAGTTCTTCATGGACCACCCCTTTAAACACTTCTTTTTCTCCTCAGAGTCTTGTCTCCTCTAGGATGGATTCTCCCAGGTCCATCCTTCTTCCGATACGGTTTCTAACAGTCAGTCCCCTTCTGTGTGTTCTCTGAGTCATCTCCAAGGGCAGTGTGCTGAGTGCTGAGAAGAGGAAGGCCAGGACTGCACCAAGAGGCCAAACAGCCGCCTCCACCCACCCCAAATTTCAGAATGCAGTCATGAAAGCACTGGAAAATAAGAAGTATCCCCACTGCGCCAGAAACTGTGAGAGCCCTAAAGACAGAAGGCACACGGGATTAGGTTAAGGAAAACACAGTCAATAATACGCATAGTAAAAACTAAATAAAATAACGACATCATGCCCCCACTCAAAAAACCTCCAAATTCTACAGCCTAATCTCAAATAAAATATTGATGCAAAAGTCTTGAATAAAGTATTAGAATTCAGACAATTCAATCTCAGGAAATCTTTTAATATAATCATATTGATAAAAGTGAAAAATCAAGTGATTATCTCTATAGACGCTGAAAAGATCTTTCATCACATTTATTTTCCGTTCTTCATAGAAAGTTCTTAATATAGGAATCATACTTTATAAAAAAATAAAATCCAGATAGTTCTATCTATGTAATCCACCATGTTAATAAGATAAAAAATAAAAGCCGATTATTTCAATGGATGCAGAAAATCATTTAATAAATTCAATACCTATTCATAATTTAAAAAACTTCAACAAATTTGAAATAGAAGGAAACTTTCTTAATCTACCAAAAACCTATAAATGACATAATACTTAAACATGAAATATTAAATGCTGTTCCTTGAGTTTTAGGAAAAAGACGAGAATGTTCATTATTAACTTTTCTATTGAACATTGGGCTAGAAAGAAATTGAAGAACTATATAGATGTTTACATTAAATTTAAGCTAGAGAAATAAAAAAGACCCAAATACTTATGATTGAAAGTTGCAATATTGTTAAGACATCAATTCTCCAAAAATTAAGACAACTTTAAAGAAGAGCAAAGTTGGAGGACTTTATGCTACCAGATATTAAGACTTACGATGAAGCCACAGTAACTACAATAGTACGGTGCTGCCACAAAGACAGACAAGTCATCCGTGGAACAAAATAGAGACTCCAGAAATAGGCCCAGGCATATGCAATTACCGACACAACTATCTAGGACAAAGTTGAAGTAGGGGAGGGATGGCCATTTCAACGAAAAGAAATGGTGCACAGTCTGTTGGGTATCCATACGGAACAAAAAGAGCTTTGACCCCCACCTCATACCATACACAAACTCAATTTGATGTAGATCATAGAATATAAAAGGTAAAGCAATATAGTTTCCAGAAGATAACAGAGAACAAAGAGAATATTTCATGACCTTGGAGTAGGCAAAGATTTGTTAAATAGAACATAAAAAAGCACTATCCCTAAAGAAAAGATGAATATACTAGAATTTGTTATAACAAAGAATTTTTGTTTATCCAAAGACACCATTAGAAAGTGAATTGGAATGTCACATATTGGGAGAAGATGCCTTCAATACATATATCTGATAAAGGACTTATATCCAGAATATGTAAAGAATTTCTATAAATCAGTAAGACAAAGACAGCCCAATTAAAAGATGGGCAAAAGTCTCAGAAACTTCTTAAAAGAGGAAATCCAAATGTCAACAAGCATTTTTTTTTTTTTAATTATTCCAGGGTTTTGTGAGGGTACAAACATTATAGTTACATTTTATGTCTTTGCCTCACCCAAGTGCGGGTTAAAGGCATGCCCTTCCCTCCCTTTAGTGCTCCCCGTGTCCTTTAGTTGT